CCCCCCCAGCAAGCTGGGTACTCATTTTACCGACCTCGGAAGGATGGAAGGCTGAGTCAACCTTGAGCCGGCTACCTGGGATTTGAACCCCAGGTCGTGAGCACAGTATTAGCTGCAGTACAGCGGTTTAACCACTGCGCCACGAGGCTCTTTTTAATGTTATTCTGTTATAGTTTATTAAATATTTTATTGCTCTATTTGGTTCAGAATATATTTTCCCTGTGTTCCTCCTCTAAAAATTAAGTGCGTCTTAATGTCTGGTGTGTCTTATGGAGCAAAAAATATGGTAGGTTGCTAACTGGTGCATAGTATCATAATATAACACCAATACTGAAAGTCCTGCACTGGTCAGTAACTTGTTAGGCCCAATTCAAGGTATTGGTTATATTTATTTATTTACATTTCTGTGTTGTCTTTTTTCCAACTAAAGGGCTCAAGACAGGTCATAAGTTATTAAAAACAACTACAAATTAACTAAAACCGCAATGAATTATAACATTAAAAATGCTTGGATGTATACAGTATTAAAACAATTAGTTAAAAATGTTAAAACATATAAAATATCCAACATTCTAAATATTTTAATCTTTAAAGTCCCAAACAGCTTTCAATCTGGCTATCCAAGGGTCCACCTGTCCTTTGCGAGCCTATTTGGACATTAAGATTGGCCATAAAAATACTGACAATTTCAGAAGCCCACCTTAACAAACTTATGGGAGAGCACCTTCTTCTACGTGGCACCCAAACTGGAATACACTCGATTTCAAGTTACAGTCTGTTTCCACTCTAATTTTAAGAAGGGGGTAAAATCATAACTTTTTAGATTGGCATATGATGTTGTTTGGGCTGTATCCTTTGTTAATTTTAATGGTTTCAGTTTATTTGATTTTAATGAATTTATGATGGGGTTGGTTTACTTTATTTTATTTTATTTTGGCTGAATGTTGTTCATCAGTTTTCATTATTTTAAGAAGTTTGTAACCTTCCCTGAGTGCTGTTTTAGGAGAAAGGCATCATCATCATATCAGACTTCTATTAATATTATGTAACTCTGTTTTAGGGGAGATCTGTGGATTTTCCTCCTTCAAAGTTGAAGGCAGGTTATGGAGAGCAAGCATGCTATGTTCTTGATTGTTTAGCAGAAGAAGCCTTGAAATATACATCTTTTGCATGGAAAAGGTATGAGAAATTAACAGTGTTCTTCCTGTTTATCTCTGTGATGGAATTTAGGTGCTGATTTTATAACTTAAGAAAGCCAGAGCAATACAACAGTTCATATCCAGATAGCATTCTCTGAATTCAGTGAAGCTTATTTTTATATAACTGAGTATTGAATTGTTACATGCAGTAAATAATTTAAATTTTTAAAAATATAATTTTATCAGGGTTGTCATTTTTATTTTATTTTTAAATTAACAAGAAATGAGGAATACTAACAAATAATGTTCTTGCTTTTAAACTTCATCTCACCTTTTCATGTTTTTGTTACTGTCATTTTAGACATACTATACTATCTCTAATACTGTTTTGTATCTTTCCAAACAAGTTTATGATTTCTGTATTTTAATGTAAAAATTGAATTTTAATGTAAGATGGAAAAGCAAAAGTGGCTACATCAACTTGCTTTCTCAGGAAATTACACTTATTGTTCCAGGCCCATATATCCGACAGAGGAGCTAGAAGAAGAGGCCATAACTGAAGATGATGCTGAACTGACTCTTAATAAAGTGGAAGAAATACTTGCAGTATGTGTGTAATTTTATGTTATTTCTGTTATTGTTAATGAGAAATAAGCTCATTTGTGGATAAGTATTTAACACAGCAGTCCTTTATATGTCTGTTCAGGAGTAAGCCTCATTGTACTGTAATTTTTAGTCCTTTCATGTTTTACTATGTTACATTTTTAGTCTACCTACATTGGTGAGTTTGTAACTAATAAATAAAACTGCCAGATAGGATTGCATTGTAAATGTGCAAAAGGTTAATGAAGATGTTTATTGTCCAAATACATCTTACATTTTGATGTTTGTGTCTTCTCATTAGCTTTTCCTGTGCCTATAAATGCAGTACAGCATTGTCTTGAATCAAGATACATACATTGTGATTCTGAGAAACTAGCTGACTATTGTGAATGTTATATTCATGTAAACTGGGATAGTTGAGATTTTGAACGGTTGAACTGTGGCAAAAAAGCCCAGTTAGATTTCTGTAAATATATGGCAGAATGAAGTGGTAATTCTGAGGCAGTAAAATGGTCTACACCATATCATACCTCTAGTGAAGTACCAGTTTTTAAAAATATTCTGAGATTTATTCTATAAGTAGATTTTTTCTCTCCCTGTTATACTGCCCTTTTACTTTACAGGAAGCATTTTTATTTTATTTTATTTATATGCCACGTTTCTCCCCAAGGTGGCTCACATACTGTTATGATTATACTGAGACCACCATAAGAACTATACTAAAAACAATTAAACATTTGTTGATATTAAAACCACCGCTAAAAACATTTCAAATCATTAGTTGTTGTAGTTGTTAGTCGTTAAGTCGTGTCCGACTCTTCATGACCCCATGGACCAGAGCATGCCAGGCCTTCCTGTCTTCCACTGCCTCCCGGAGTTTGGTCAAATTCATGTTGGTAGCTTCGATTACACTGTACAACCATCTCGTCCTCTATCGTCTCCTTCTCCTCTTGCCCTCACACTTACCCAACATCAGGGTCTTTTTCAGGGAGTCTTCTCTTCTCATGAGATGGCCAAAGTATTAAAGCCTCAGCTTCAGGATCTGTCCTTCCAGTGAGCTCTCGAGGTTGATTTTCTTCAAAATGGATAGGTTTGTTCTCCTTGCTCTCCAGGGGACTCTCAAGAGTCTCCTCCAGCACCACAATTCAAAAGCATCAATTTTTCAGTGGTCAGCCTTCTTTACGGTCCAGCTCTCACTTCAATATATCACTACTGGAAAAACCATAGCTTTGACTATGCGGACCTTTGTCGGCAAGGTGATGTCTCTGCTTTTTAAGATGCTGTCTAGGTTTGTCATTGCTTTCCTCCCAAGAAGCAGGCATCTTTTGATTTTGTGGCAGCTGTCACCATCTGCAGTGATCATGGAGCCCAAGAAAGTAAAATATGTCACTGCCTCCATATCTTCCCCTTCTATTTGCCAGGAGCTGTTGGGACCAGTGACCATGATCTTAGGTTGTTTTTTTTAATGTCGAGCTTCATACCATTTTTTGTGCTCTCCTCTTTCACCCTCATTAAGAGGTTCTTTAAGTCCTCCTCACTTTCTGCCATCAGAGTGGTATCATTTGCATATCGGGGGTTGTTGATATTTCTTCCAGCAATCTTAATTCCGGTTTGGGATTCCTCCAGGCCAGACATTCGCATGATATATTCTGCATACAAGTTAAATAAGCTGGGGGACAATATACAGCCTTGTCGTACTCCTTTCCCAATTTTGAACCAATCAGTTGTTCCATATCCAGTTCTAACTGTTGCTTCCTGTCCCACCTATAGATTTCTCAGGAGATAGATAAGGTGGTCAGGCACTCCCATTTCTTTAAGAACTTGCCATAGTTTTCTGTGGTCCACACAGAAAACTATGGCTGACCTAGAATCACACCGTCCACGTCTGCTGCGGATCAGTGAGTGGACCATCTGGCCCCATGGGGCTGGTCCCTTGTTAACGCCACCTGTGCGGGGATATATGAATACCCCCATCTCTAGTCAGCAGTCTGCCTGCAGAATTTTGAACCAGCTGAAGTTTAAGAACACTCTTCAAATGTAGCTATAAGTAGAGCATGTTGCAGTAATCCAAATGGAATGTAACTAAAGCATATGTCATTGTGGCCAGATCAAGCATTTCAAGGAACACTTGCAGCTGCTGCACCAGCACAACATTAAAAATTTGACACCCTCTCAATCTGGAGTGACCTCTTTCATGTCTTCTTGTTGGAAGTGGAGGCCAGGAATTAATCACAGTACTTGGAATGCAGTATAGAATGATTGACTTCAAGCTAGCTTTGGTTTGGCACCTTTTAACTTGGAAAAGGAAAATTGTTAACCTGAATTATTGTGAACAGTCTTGTTTAAATTGCTGCATGTCCAAGGACTTACGCATTTGATGTTTTGCTGTACGCAGATCATAAGGTCATATGGGCAAATGTTAGTATATAAAAAGTCATTGATATTCCTGGTAGCAATTCCTGTTAGTACAGCAGTAATATTCCAGCTGTTACAATTGTAGGAATTTCTGCCAGCTGTATCAGTGACTGCTAGTTTCCATGTTAGCTTGGCATGAACTTTCAGCAGCGAGGAGGCCAGGAATACTCCCAGATGTCTTATGTGAGCTGCTGCACATCCTATTTTAATGCAAGGAAGAGCAAAGCTGTTGTGATAATGACTACTAAAGGAAGGAAACTCACAAAAAGCTCCAAGTATTGCTCAGTGGCAGTGCAAAAAGCTATCTTTCATTTTAGCTTGGTAAATGCAAATGTTTATGATCTTTTTCATAAAACATTCTTAAACCATAGCCTTGCCTGTCTTACTAAACAATTTTCCATATATTTTTAAGGAAGAAGAGACAGACAACGAAGACAACTACATTGATCTGAACGTTTTAAAGGCGCAAACGTACAAATCAGTAAGTGTTTTCCTATGTCTGTCAAATGCTGGTTTGAAAGGTGCACTTTTATAAGTGAAAGGCACTTCATATGTAAGTTTCCCACCAGCGCTGTTTACAGGTTCCGCTAGAGGTGAGATAGAGAACTCCCAAAATGTCACCCTGCTGTCTGGGTCATTTTGCCAGTTGTAGTCTAATTTTTCTTATCTCCGTTTCTCATTCTGCTCTTGAAGTGCCTCCAAGCAATTGGTATGGAAAATGGGGGGGGGGGACTACAGGGACTGATGGGCCAGAACAGATGGGAAAGCTCTTCCTCATAAAGCAAGAGTCATATGTATATTTTTGGATGCAAGTCTGTGAACTGTTTATCATAGATCTGCTGTAATTTGGTTAATGAACTATTAAATGGTCATGTAAAAATGGCAGTTGAGGCTTATTTTGACTATAATTTTAGAATTATCGAATGCAAAATTAGTTACTGTATCAACCAAGACAGATCTACTTCTCTTTTTTAAAGGTATCAGGGATGCACTTGATTCTTCTAACATTTCTTTTTCTACAACTTAAATGTCTAATGTTTTTTGCCATGCTACTAAATTTTTGTGCTTAAGTAATAGAAACGCTAATCCCAGGGGCTTCCCCATGTTAATTATTCATAGATGTTTTTCTTTCAAGCAGTTCTAAAGTCATAATAATGTTTTTATGCATTTTGCATAAGGAGTGTCTCTTCTTTGTGACATTTTTAGATGATGTAGTTCACTGGTTCTTAACCTTTGTTACTCAGATGTTTTTGGACTGCAACTCCCAGAAGCCTTCACCATCAGCTCTGCTGGCTGGGGTTTCTGGGAGTTGCAGTTCAAAAACAACTGAGTAACAAAGGTTAAGAACCACTGATGTAGTTGATTATTCAAGATGCATGTGATATAAATTTCTTGATAGGATATGACTGAATCAAAGCAAGAAGAGATTTTAGAATCAACAGTAGATGCTGCTGAATGGAACCTTGAGGTGGAACGGGTTCTTCCACAACTGAAAGTTACAATCAGAACGGACAATAAGGTGGGTATGGGCTTACGTGTAATGCTATTCTTCTCCTAATTAAGTAATTCAGTCTCTTGAAATAATCTATGTCTCTTTATGTTTTTGTGTATGTTTGTGTTTGTTTAAAACCTTACTTTTGTGTATGTTTGTGTTTGTTTAAAACCTCATTTTTTTCTTAGCAGTAGGACTCAAAGTGACTGGCTTATAAGGATTATTAAAACACGAGTAATGAAACAATTTAAGATGCAGTACACTACAATAGTTTTAAAAATTGTTGACAAGTAGCAAATAAAGTTCCTTTAAAACAATCTGAAACCATGTTTATATTATTTTAAAAAATAAAGATAACTCCTCCATTAACCCCTTCCTAACAGCAATTAATTTATTTAAAAGTCTTCATAAAAAGGCCAGCAGGGAGGTGGCCAACCTGGTCTCTTGTGGAAGACAGTTCCACTGTGTGGGAACAGAACCAAACAACTGTTTCTCAAATGTGCACCACACAAGTCTATGAAGGCATTGGGAGGAAGGCCTCTAGCAGTCATCTTAAAACCCTTGGAGACTCACACGAGGAGATATATTTCCTCAGATAGTATGGACCCAAGTTATGTAGCATCTTAAAGATCAAAAATAGCACTTTGAACTGTGCCCAAAATTGGGCTGGTAGCTATTGATGCTGCTTTATTTGCTTAAAGCCCATGCTGTAATCAACATATTGTGAACTGCTTCGTATAGGCATTCTAAAGCTGCTGAATATGAGCGCCTTTTGTTCTGCAAAATATCGCACTTAAATGTGAAGTGTGATTAAAGCTACTTGACTGATATTAAAGCACTTAAAATAGATTACTGCTTGCAAATAAAGTACTTGTGTTCCAGCATAAACATATTTGAAGAGTTTTTAAATATATGGATCTTATGAAAGTAGCGCAGATATATAAACAAATTGATTTTTGAGAGAGATGAAGGGCAGGGGAATTTTTTAGTATCAAGTTGTTTGGATCAATATATGTATGTTTAACCACACTTGAAGAAGTCATATTTTTTAGGAACGCTAAATCTGATTAAAATGTTATCTTCATAGCAATTCAACTGCTGAACAGTTTTTCCTGAGGAAGAACTGAATGTTCAAAAAATGTCTCATACTATCATGGCATCTGATGATTTTTCTGCCCAGTGGTTCTTGCCTTCTGCATCTTTCCTTGATTTAGTGAGACCTCTAACCCCTCATCTATATCTGCTGTCAGTGTGTCTCATCTAAAGCATTTCTTTATATTTTGTGTTTCTAGTGAACTAGTTGTCAGCTTGGCAACTTTCAGCAATACAGTGGTGCCTCGCAAGACGATTGCCTTGGGGGACAAAAAATCTGCAAGATGATTGGTTTTTGCAAATTAAAAAAAAAAGAGTTGTGATACCTTAAAGACTAAAGGACTTATTTCATGCAAGATGAATAAATTTCATTCGTCTTGGGAGGTTCCCATAGGGTTTTTTCACAAGACAACAATTTTCGCGAAACAAATTAAAACAGCTTGCGAGGCACCACTGTATTGATTCCTCGTTCCTGTATTTTACATCCACATGTACAAATATCAATGCACAGACATCCCTGTGACAATATTTCCCTGTTTGTGCATCTTTTATTTTCCTAGTTCCTAATCTTCTCCCTCAACACACACTCTCCATATGTTTTCATTTATGTACTTGGGGGTAAATTTAAATTTCATTTGATCACTAATTTAATGTTTTAAATAAAGTTTCATGTATTTAGTTCTGTTTAAATGTATTAGCTGCCTGGATAGCTCAGTGAGCTAGAGATCAGGAGTCAGAAGTTGGAATTTCAAGTCCCCATTGGGCAGCCTGTGTGGTCTTGGACAAACTGCACAGTCCCAGGATGCCCCTAGAAAGAAGGGAACGGTAAACTACTTCAGAGTATTCTCTTCCTAGAAAACCGTGAAAAGGATCACCATAAATCAGAATTGACTTGATAGCACACAATTATATTATAATTAAATATATTGCTGGTGCGTAGTCTTGTTTCTTGCTCTTTGTCGTCATCTTCAATATGATGAAGTGGAACTCTTCGTCTCTACCCAGTTCTACTCCCCTCTCACCCACCAACTCACCTTTCTCTAGATTCCTACTTTCCTCCCTTTTTGCAAGGTGTTGAAACTTTGGAACTACTTTCGTCTGAAGTCTTGGAGTCATCTTCAGTGCTCTCCCAAACATCCAGAGTCAAATTGCACCTTGCTAGTTGTCGTCTTGAAAATGTGGGCTTCCTTCTTGGTGTATGTTGCTGACATTTTCATTGCTGCCTTGGTTTTCTTTGCTAATGTAGATAGCACCAGTAGAAACTGCTGAAACTAGTATGCAGTGAGATGACTACTAGATTTATGCATCTTCTTAGTGTTTTGTATAGCTTAATGGGTTGAGTACTTGTCCGTGGACCTGGAGGGTAGAATGTTCTTTTCCCTCCGTATCTCCCAAAAGAGCCAGTCTGTTTAGCTTTTAGCAAGCTTCACAGTCTCAGGGTGCTCCCAGAAGAAGGGAATGGTAAACCATTGCTGAGTAACTTATACTAAAGAGCTGTAGAAGGAGTTGCCGTAAGTCAAAATTGACTTGACAGCATGTAGTTATTATTGTTATAATATAATTAGCTGCAACATTCCAGAGTCGAAATGGGTTACTCTCTTATCAGTACTCTAATTAAACTGACTCAATTCACTTCTTGATGTTTCCCCTCTCTTTTTAGTTAAGTCAGAAAAATCTTTGTGAAAACCCTGCAGCTTGTCTATTACTATAATTATTTTCTCCTCTTGCCTATAATTATATTTCTCTTACACTGACCCCTTTTTGCCCTGCGTATTAATGTCAGACCTCTACTCAAACACCTAGTTCTTGATAACAGGATTTGAGGTGATGAAACCTGTTTCTCACCTAATGCAGATCGGATAATATTTAATATATTTTATTATGATGACTGGTATCCTACAGAACAGGTACAACAACAGTGTGAGTTTTCAAATTCTTAGGAATTCTTTATCAGGCAGTTAGGGGAAGATGCAAAGAATTAATTGTGTGTTGTCCCTATTGTATGTTTCTGTAGTTGCAGGATGTTGAATTCAGGCTCAATCAAGAGAAAAGGTGCTGGGATGCATTGTCTCCATCCCTCAATGAATAGAGAGGTGGCTGAGAGTCAGGCAACTCTCCATAGACTTCTTCAAAGCCACAGGCTTTTGGATTGATTTGGCAGATATTTTTGTATCATTCGAGCCAACAATTACATTTAGCTGGTATACTAGGTATTTTAAAAGATTAGCCAGTCCTCTGAGGTCACTGAAGTCCTCCTTGTGGTATAGTCTTCTGTATCGCTTTGGATTGCAGGCTGACCTAGAGTAATATGTAGGAATATGGCTGAATATTCCTCCAAAGGGGGGAGAAAAATTTTCACATCTACTCCATGAATCACACATGTGGGTACTTCTGCGCCTACACAAAACAGTCTCAAGCACATTCTAGAGCTTTACCCCTCCCTTCGCTCATTCACTGCTTCACCCAATGGTTATTCCCTCAGATGCTTTCTAAGTGCTGCCAAGGCAGCTTCTTGCACTGTCTGCAGCAAGACATGAAATGAAGAATATGTTTGCAGCAGTAGTCTTCCAAGAGTATGCATGCCTAAGATCGTCAGGAATATCTGACAAATCCAGGAGTCGCATAAAATGCTTACCCTTTGAGGGTGAGGGATTCTTCAGTGCTAAGTCCAGTGACATAACAGAACACTGCAAAATGTATAGTTTTCACACTTCAATATCCAGATTGGATTTGATAAAAAAAAATAAATCTGATTTTTTAACCATTTCAATTAAAAAAAACATTTTAAAATTTACATTGTGATTGAAATAAATTTTATTTTTAAAAAATCATTGATTTTTATCTACCCTGATATTCACAAAGAGACAATATACTTAGCAAAGAGGAAGATCACCTGCCGATAAACAAAGAACAATAACTCAGACATTACCTGTTTATTCTAAACAGAAACCAGCTTGGTTAAGGTACAAGACTCCTAACATCATCTGCACAAAAGAGTGAAAAGTCATCAAAATGATTTTGACTTGGATACTCTCAAGATCAATAGTTTTAAAAAATAATTTTGAATCTAACATCTTACTCTTCCACTTAATCTACTATGGCACCTTTTTACACCACTGACCAATGGGTATTTGCCATCATATCCCATGGTTGTGCTGTTGAATTCAAAACACTTCAAAATAGAGATTGAAAGTGAGTGTAGAAGAGACACTTCAACTGCTTTGGATCTTGGTCTAAAAGTAAATGTGAAAAAAATTCACCTTCAGCCACAAAACAAAATCCAGTATATCAGGGCAATTTTGGATTTAGAAAAAGAGAGAATATTTCTGCCAAAGGGCAAAGTGGACAAAATAACTTTATTGGCATCAAAGTTCAAACCACACAAAAAAGTAAAGGAACACTCAGTTCAAATTTACTATGATTGATGGCATCTATGACAGCATTAGTATCTCATGCACGGCACAAGATGGTACCTTTTCAAGCATGGTTCCTTCTTTCCACAGCATGAAAGACATACTTGAAAAAACTGGCAGTTATGAAAGAGTTAGCCCTTATTTCAATGGGGGCAAAAAGGACAAAATTTATTGATAAATATGCTTATCAAAGCAGTCTTTTCTGGCAATAACAACAGATGCCAGTTTGACAGGATTGGGAACCCCTTGTCAAGGGAAGAAGATTCATGCACCATGGGGGGAAAGTGATACAGATGATAACAGATAATATCTGGTGTTCGCCCTCATGGCCCCTGCTTGTTTCCCCAAACACAGAACACGCCCTCTGATACGCTGCCACCAGTTGATCTCTTTTATCAACCTAGTTTACTTAGAAAAGACGAAGGTCCATCCAGTACTGACATTTCAACAGAACAAGTTTATTAATTACAGATGGCTGCTGGAATAATTCATAAGCATATTCGTCAGGATTCATCAATCATCAATATTAACCTCCATTAATTATCACAGGTTACACTCTAACTAATCACTCCTCAAACCCCAAACTATCTTTCTCTCTTTCATTCCAGACTCAGACTCTGACTGACTCTAACTGACTTTCTCCTCTCAGGCTCCACCTTTTAAGATCTCTTTTGGCCCCGCCTCTTAACCACATTAACATATAATATGAATAATGCATAACTTACAACGCATAACTTAGGTTGAACGCTCCGTTACCAGTATGATGTACTACATAAACAAACAAGAAGAACACATTCAATGACTCCACTACTGATAACAATGCACTTGTGGGGAAGGTGCATAGAAAGAGCTCGTGTCAATCCACGTTTCTGCAGATACTCTTGGCAAGCGTCAGATGCAGTCTTTCAAATAGGAGTCATCAAACAACCTGTCTTCTGTCTGTCGTGTCAGTTATGTTCATGATGTGGCGGCAGAGAGAGGAACTAATGGAATGACCATTGGATGGAGCAGTGTGTGAAGTGTAAAGCTCTAGATCAAGGGTTCCCAAACTTGGTTGTTCTTGAACTAAAACTCCAAGGATCCTTCAGCACTAGCTGTGCTGGCCAGGATTTCTAGGATGTTGTCCAAGAACATCTGGGGACCCAAAGTTGGGGAACAGTGCTCTAGAACATTCCTGCACAGGCGCAGAAGTACCGATGAATTTGTATGAATTCGTGGGTGACCACTCAAAGAAACAGGTGAATAGCCTTAACACGGTCTTCTTCCTTAAATATAAACATGTTGTTAGTAGAGAATTTTATTTTTAATGGATGAATGTTCATCTCCAGTATAAACTTACTACCTTCCTATGGTTTGTAAGAACGACACTAAAGGCACTTTGGTTGTAACTATAATTTTGTTTGTATTTTCGTTTTTACACAGGTGCATCAGATATTGCACAGTGACTATAATGTTCAAACTTGAATATGAGAAATCTAGGTTAACGTGTCCATTGACCTATGGAAGTCACTAGCCCTTAACCTGTCTCCTGCTACCAACTTAAGTTAAAGTGGCACTTTATGGTTTTGTTAGGGCAAGGGTGGGGATGTATTTCAGTCTGAAGTCAATTTCAGAAAAATTCTGGGGCTTGCATTCCAGTGATTGATGTGCCAAAGGCAAAAAGGTAAGAGGTTTAAGCCTCTTAGTGCCAGTAACTAAATTTTAGGAGAGGCATTTCCCCTTGTTGGAATTAGAGGACAAAAACAATATGAAAATTGACAAATAATGAAATGATGGCGATATGAAGGAGGATTTTGCATCTTGTGACATTCAAGAAGACAGAATTCAGCCTCAAGAACTGGGGCTCCCCATCCCTTCCTTAAAAGAAAGTGTGGGATACAAATGAAGAAAATGTGAGTGGTATCTGTGACAAACCCAGACCTACTGGGCTATGTCACACAGTTACTAAGCTGCCACCAACCATTCCCTATAAGAAGTCACACAGACCAGGGATGGATTTTCAAACAATAAAAAGAATAAGGTTTATTTTAAATACACACAGGGAAAAATAAACAATCAGGTGAATAGATAAAGTAACGTGGCTTATTCTCACTCATACAAGCATACAGTTTGGTTCACCCAGAACCCTTAACTTGAAGCACAGACCCTGAACCTATCAGTTCTGGCTAACCAACAGACACCTGAACCTATCAGGTTGGTACTCTGACACACAGTAGTACCCTGTCTGACACACAGACTCCCACAACAGCTTCTTCTTCCCAGCTGCTGCTTCGTCACATCCCAGTGTCTCTCACAGTGTCTCACAGTGTCTCTCACCACACAGGCATCACATATTTATACAGTACAGCCCCTCCTCCTGATGTCCCGCCTTCCACTCCCCATAGGATGGAACTTTCCCTCCAAACCCATGACAGACAGGTAACATCAGTGCTGTATGTAACAGTATCAACTGACTATTTTCCCCATGGAATATTAACCATAAGCAAAACAGATTCTCTCAGCCCTGCCATGACCCATCCTACCCTTCAAATCACCCCTGAGATTGGGAAGGCCAAGATGCTGCATATTGGAAGGGACAGAAGGGAAAGTTCCATTGTGTGAACAGGTTTCCTCATGCAACATGGGATATTACCAATTAATTTTGGTTGTTATGGGTTTCCCGGGCTATTTGACCATGTTCTTGGATTCTTCTTCCTAACGTTTCGCCAGTCTTACTTTTACTTCTGCTTTCCTATTTCTTCTGCAATGTTTTACATTTTGATATTTCCCACTGAAGACTGGTTCCTCTAGTCAGTTTCAGCTGAAAAGTGGAAACTACAGAGAGAAAGGCAGGGTAGAAATTTAGCAAACAAATACACCTAAATAAACAACTACCTTGAAATTCATCCTCATAAACTTATCTTGTAGGTCTGAAAAGGCTTAGGCTGCCTGCTATTTGTCCTTCTCCTTTCCTAGAGCTCTGGGAACAGATAACTACAACTTGTATGTTTTGCACAGTACCTAAAATTCTGTCAGTGCTAAACTTGATCAGTAATGTAGTTGTGGTAGTAATGAGCATAGGTTTTGATTAGTTGGTAAATGCATTCACATCCTGTTTTTCTGTATCAGAAGGAGAGAATGAAGCTTAAATCAATATTAGTGCCTGGAGCACTCTGTCAGAATTATTTCTGGAACAGGAATATTCACAAACAAATATCCAATTGCAAACATCCATAGGCAGTCATGTGCAGAGGTTTTTTTTTTTTCAGAGCACAGATGTGTCCTAGGCTTTTAGATGATCATTCTAATGCAACAGTCATAGGATTGAAACATGCTACTTTTGGTTGATACACTGCAGATCTGTCTGTGACTAATCAGTTATAATGTAAATTGTAACCTTGCATATATATCCCTCTTTTTAAAGGACTGGCGAATTCATGTAGATCAGATGCACCAGCACCAAGATGGAATTGAGTCGGCTTTAAAAGATACCAGGGTAAGCGTCTGGTGTGCATAAGTAATCCAAAGATAGTAGAATTTTGATAACTTAGTGGTAGCTCTTGTGATTGTAACTTGAGAACTTCCTCTCTGCAAGGAATCTTTCAAGTGTGCGTGAGTCACTTGCTCCCAAATCTCTTGGCACTGCATGGTGTTGCTTAACTGTGGCTTCAGTTAAGAGGCAGTACACGTTTCTGTTTCTTGAAGCAAGCTTTTACAAGTCCTGTGGCATCATTTTCCCCCAGGAGCTTCTTGAGCATAGCAAAATAAGCTACTTCTGTCTGACATCTGGCTTTCTCTTGAGCAGTGCTTTCTTTGCCAGTTGGAACTCCTTTTCTGCAGCAGAAAATTTGGAAAGGCTTCTGGAGATAACTACATGTGGGGTTCAAAGACTCGCATATGGACTCTAGCCTTATTCAGACATTCAAAAAATTGGGGGAGGGTAATCTGTAAGTGTGATTAGGGAGAGTTCTAATCCAACCCCACCTATCACTGCTTCCACAGAGAACACCGTGCAGTGCCAAGAGATTTGGAAGCAATGTCTTTCAAATATTCTGTTTGCCATGGAGAAGCTCTACCTTCTGTATAGTACTCCTTTACTACTCCAGGCAGAAGGTGTGCCTAAAACTATTTCCCTTGTCAGGTATTCAGGTTAATCCTTTTTTGAACATGAGAATAGGGCTTTTGTTTCTAATAGAAGTTTCTTCCTGATAATGGTTTGGTCAGTTTGCCTCTGAGAGGTTGGTTTCAAATTTGAAACCCTTTGTCATCCACATTTAAAATGTCAGAGGAATTCAAGGTGTGTATGAAGACTATTCAGCGTCCGTATTTCAGTACCTACAATAGGCAGGTCGTCCTCACTACAGAATTGTATCTTTCATTATAAGACAGTGATAGCTACAAGGTTTGCAATTTTTGTTATAGCAGTCACTGACTGCATCGACTTTTAAAGCAGTGTGACAGATAAGAAAGAGTGGAGCCCGAGAAGCTGTTTGAGCAACTAAAGTTGCACACAGTGTCCAATTGTGATAATTTGACCTAATAAAGCTAATTAAAGTGATCAGATTTGACTCCTAGTGAGGAGTTACTATCAGAAAGTAAGTTCCAACATTAAGAAGTGAAGATTAAATGCTGTTTCATTCTTTAAAAAAGAATTGCTCTCATCTCCTTAAGAGTTGTTAGAACATGAGATCATACAATAACAAATGAGTGAGTGTGTTTATCCTTTTGTTAGTGTCCAAATTTTCTGACTGAGGCACAAGATTAAATGGATAGATAAACAGCAGAAGCACAAAGATAACTGTGGGTCTAGTTTTTAGTGAATAATGTACTAGGATCCAAAGCGCTGTGCAATTAGTTTTTTCACATAATGTGTTTGTAATTCTTTAACATTTGACTCCTTCCCTCTTCCAGGTAAGTTAGTTTTGCAATGAAGAGGATTTTCAGAAATTGATTGGATGTGGGTAGGAGTCTGAGGGTCAGGAAAAAGAGTCAAAAGTCCAACTGAATGTCCCTGTGCTCCTCAGCCTGCCTCAATTAGCTCATTGCATCCCAGCCAGTCTTCATAGATAACAGAAATAAAACTCTTACAGGGCTATCTTGATAAACTTCATAACGAAATCAGCAGGACTCTGGAGAAGGTTAGCAGTCGTGAAAAGTACGTCAACAATCAACTAGAGCATTTAGTTCAAGAATATCGTTCTGCACAAGCACTTCTGAGTGAGGTAATAACTGATGTTCCACTCACCCATCCTTATAGTTTTGGATTGCTGTCAACAAACTACTGTACAGTGATGAACTTTATAGTTTTAATAGCAAGTTTCGACTGTTAAACGCTCACTAAAATACCCACTTAGCATACTATGGAAGAAAAAGATATACAGTAAGACATTCTTCTTGGTGGTCTGTGATTCACACTCCTAGGCCTATGAGACAGTCTCAGGAACATTCTACAGCTTTAAGCCCTCCTCTCAGCTAATGTGCCACTCTACCCAATGGTCACTCCCTAGTTCCCTCTAATCACCCTGGTTAGATGTGTAAGTGAGTTGGCCACACTGAATTGTGACAAATTTTAAAGTTTCATAAAGATAAGGTGTCTTTGTTTATGGACATTTCATTCTTTATACGGTAATCTCAAGCTTTCATACAAACCATCTATTAGTATTATCTACTTTTTTCCAACAGCTACATCCTCCTGGAATGGAGATTTCACACACTGGATGTTAGGGATGCTCTCGTGTTCTATGTTGATAGAACAAGTTATTTTAGGAAAACTAGTTACCAAGGAAATTTAAAAAAGGTGAATAAATATTGCAAAGACTATCTAAATGGGTAATGAAAATGATCTTATTGTCCTATGTCTTTTGCCTACTATCTTGAAGGCGAATTCAACCCGAGCTACAACTGCTTGAACAGCCTTTTTAAAAGGAATCCAATTGTAGGATATTTGCAAGACTGCAACTTGGTTCCAGCCTATGACTTTCGTGGACCATTATATGTTAGAGCCCAATTGAATGCATAGTTTAGTCATGTGGTGCAGTCTTCTATCTCATCAGCTGGTAAGATGACTTAGAAGTCACCCATGTGTGTGAATCAGAGACCACAAAGGAGGAGGAAAGGTTACTTACCTGTAACTGTGGTTCCTCGAGTGGTCATCTGAATTCACACAACCCGCCCAACCTCCCCTCTGTCTGTCAGGCTACCTCCACTTATGCTGTGGCACTGGATAGAGGGACCAGAGGAGTGACTGTTGGGTGCAGCAGCATATTAGTGATCAAAGCTTTAGAATGTCATAAAGACCATCTGTACAGGTGCAGCAGAACTCATGTGTGAGAATTCACAATGACCACTCAAACAACCAGTTACAAGTAAGTAACCTGTCCATTCTATCTTGGTTTTGCTCCCTTTGTAAATTATACATTAAATGATATAAGTATCTTCACCCCCTTTCTGTTGCATTTATTTAGGAATTTTGTAGATTCCTTCACTTAATAGATAAAAGTATCAAAGTAAACCAGCTACTGCACAGAGAAATGTGATACAATGTAGTTAAAAACCCAGCTTCCCATCTATTCAAACTTGTTCATAATAACTCAAACTACAACTAGCTTAAGATAGAAATAATAATAAAAAACATCTTTACTTACAATTAATTCTTTACCTACAGTCAGAAAAGTAAGGAAGAATAAAAGAAAGAAATTCTATCCTCAATCATGTAGGGGGACTCAGTTCGCCATTGCAACCACATGGCCAAAGGTTAAGAGCAAAGCAAAATCATGTCTTCTCTTTTCAAAGGTCAGGACATAAAAAAGATAAACAAATAATGGAGGTGGAGACAAACAGGAAAGCCAGGGAAAATAGAGTTTACTTATAGGTTAGTTGGAAAGTAAGTTCCTCTGTGTCCAGAAACACCTCCCACAAAGAGCTAGTGTTAGTAAACATATAAAGCTGTTGTTTTCTCCAACATTTTTACATTTAGGAGTGTATGCCTTAAAACAGGATCATTCACAGAGTCTATATGTTTTATTTACAGGATATTTTCACTTTTCCCAACAGGCCAAGGAGAAATACCAACAAGGAAGTGGAGGTGTGACAGAGAGGACTAGAATTCTATCTGAGGTAGAACATCTTTATGTTTATATGGTACTATTTATTTATTGAATTTATATCCCGCCCATCTAGTCAATAGACTACTCTGTCACAATCCAAATGAATACTTTTGTGTGTTTATCTCTTTCTAACATGTTTAATAATTTATTAATTTATGTGTTTCTTCCTTTTATTTCTGTGCCATCTTTCTCCCAGTGATGGGACTCTACTGTCATTGTTACAACATTGTGTTTTCAGACACTTTCATCTGTAGTATTTGATATGTTAGGATATTTGCAGTAGAATTCATTTTTTCATTAGTATGATCTTCTGTAGGATTATTGCCAAGTATCCATTCAGACTTACTATTCTACAGTGATTAGGTTTTGCTATCCTGAACAGGCTTCAACTGTGCAAACATCTGAATTATAATTCTTCTGCTAGGTCTCTTCGAGCAGTACACTGAATTCCTTAATTAAATTTTTTACTTAACTCCTATTTCTAATTCTAAAATTATTCAGAATGAATGAGTCATTGTCCTTCTTTTTCAAAGAAATTTTGTAAAGCATTAGCTTTATTTTTATTATTTGTTTTGTAAAAAGTTATTAATATTAGAGTGCCTAAGTTGCATGACTAGGCAGGCCTCACAGGGCAATTGGTGAGTGTTTCAGCATCACCAAATCATGATAAATAATGGAATTTATCCCTAATAATCCAGTTTGCATTTAGATGCAGAAGGAAGTAGCAATTCATATGAGCATGACATCTTTATTGACTAGGGTTATTGTGCAAAGATATTTAGGCACAAGAATCTATTGAAGACCTAACCCATGTTTTACGCCATAGTGTAAGAGTAATTTGGGTCACTATTTGTACATGTAGTTCTGAAGTCCCATCACCACTCCTGAGATGTCTCCCTTGGCTCTCTATTTTTGCCTTAATGAGTCCTTTATGTTTGTCCATGTGAAGTTGGGTGAGCTTTTCTGTGAAAAGTAGCTGAATCTCAAAACAAAAAAAATTGGCTTTATAGAAGTTGCAAATTCTCTCTCATTGGAAATGAAATAGTAGTCTCCAGTGGAGACTAGAAAAGTTACTTTTTTCCTATTTGTTTCCAGAATCCCCTAGCCAGCATAAGCAGTGGCCATACTGGACAGGGGATTCAGGGGTTGTAGTCCAAAAAAGTAACTTTTCCAGGCTCTGGTTCTCTAGTGCTAGAACTGGATTTTGTGGAAGTACATAGAGGTAAGTATATATTAGGATATTTCATCATTGTCTACTGATCGAGGTTCTCAAAGTCATTTTAAAAATAATTTAAAATACATTTTTTTTAAAAAATGAAGTAAATTATTATAGAGCTCAGATATTCCATTTGTGACTTTGCTTCTAAGCCTTTTTCCTTTGGCAAATCATAGAGGAAATGGTTGCTGCTGCAACAGCCAGTGCCATGCATGGGAACGGGTTTCCATACACTGGCTGCTGCAGCTACAGCTATACTGTGTTTATCTGGTTGTAGACCGAAGAACCAGTAGTGAAGCAAAAGAGTTTACAAGCCACTGCCATTGATTGGACTTTTGTTTTTGTTTTGCCATTATACTTCTGGAACCTTGTGCCATAGAAGAGCCAGGTGCTTGGCCATTTCCTCTGGGCAGAGCATCTTTATCTAGGTTGCCATTTTGGCTGCATGTATCTCTTGGCTTCTGTTAGCAGGTGGGAGAGGCACAGTAGGTGTCACGCTAGCTGGAGTCTATCCTATCCCCGGCAGCCTCTCAAAAGAGGGGAGAAAAAGTAGCTTCTCATAATGTTTGTGTACCATACATTTCTTTTTAAAAGAATTTTTGAACTATTTTTGGTATCTTCTCTCAGCACATTCCTGTGTGTATGAAAATCTCTAATACAGAACAGTTCAGAGGCTCATTTTATACTGCAGCTTTAATTCTGTTCCGTGTTGGTGCAGTGGTTAAACCGCTGTACTACAGCCAAAACTGTGCTCACGACCTGGGGTTCAATCCCAGATAGCCGGCTCAAGGTTGACTCAGCCTTCTATCCTTCTGAGGTCAGTAAATTGAGTACCCAGCTTGCGGGGGGGGGGGCGGCGGCAATGTGTAGCCTGCATTTAACTTGTAAACCGCCCAGAGAGTGTTTTGCTTTGCTTTTAACTTTATACAGAGAAATACGCTTCAAGTGCAAACTTGCAATGCTGTTTTCTTATTGGTAATGTTATTGGAGGGACACTTTTAGACTATTGTGATATATCATTTCTATTATTTATATTAAGCCTACTGCTTTGCATTGGCATAGTGGCCAAAATCCTATTATTTGTTTAATAATTGCTGGGATAAAGGTAGTTGCTTAAATTGCAGTGGCAGATTGCTGCAACTTAATAAATCATCACTTGTGTTCCTCATTGCATGCCAAGTCATGTGACTGGTGTATGTCAAGAAATACAAGCAGCAGCTCCCTAAAAGTAGTGGCAGTTTGCCATAGCAGTTTCTCTTGTGTAAATAACAAGTGGGATTCTAACTAGTATTTCACACAGGTACAGTCATGTGAAAAAGAAAGTGCATCCTCTTTGAATTCTATGGTTTTATGTATCAAGACATAATACAAATTATCTGGTCCTAAACAGATCTGAAAATTAGGTTAAATACAAACTCAGATGAGCAACAACACCTGACATAGCACACTGTGCCATGAGTTATTTAACAAAAATAAAGCCAAAATGAAGAAGCCATGTGTCAAAAACCAAGTACACCCTTACTGCTTCCATAGTAATTAAGAGACTAAGTAGCAGCCAGGTGCAGTAACCAAAGGCCCTTGAGTAATTTATCACCACCAAGTGTGACCACCTCTATAAAAGCCCAAGTTTTAGCAGTTTGCTGGTCTGGAGTATTTAGGTGTGTGTTAACACAATACCAAGGGAGAAAAACATCAGCAATAATTTTAGAGAAGCAATTATTGCTGCCCATCAATCTGGGAAGAATTGTAAGGCATTTCCAAACAGTTTAAAGTCCATCATTCTACAGTGAGGAAGATTATTAACAAGTGGAAAACATTCAAGACAGTTGCCATTCTTCCCAGGAGTGGACATGCAAGCAAATTCACTCCAAGGACAGACTGCAATGCTCAGAGAAACTGCAAAAAGAAAAAAAAGAAGAATTATGACTCTGCAGCCTCAGTTAGCATGTTAAATGTTAATGTTCATGACAGTACACTTAGAAAAATACTGAACAAATATGATTGGTTTGGAAGGGTTGCCAGGAGGAAGCCTGTTCTCTCTAAAAAGAACCTGACAACACAGCTTAGGTTTGCAAAGTTGCATCTGGACAAACCACAAGACTTCTGGAAAAATGTCCTTTGGTCAGATGAGATCAGAGTGGAGATATCTGGCCAAAATGCACAGCACCACATTTGGTGAAAACCAAACACAGCATAGCAACACAAACACTGTCAAGCACAGTGGTGGAGGGCTGATGATTCGGACTTGTTTTGCAGCCCCAGGACCTGGGCACCTTTCAGTCATTGATCAACCATAAACTCCTCTGTATATGTAAGTATTCTAGAGTTAGATGTGATGCCATCTGTATGACAGCCAAAGCATGGCTAAAACTGAGTCATGCAACAGGCCAGTGATCCCAAGCACATCAGCAAATCTGCAACAGAATGGCTGAAAAAGAAAAGAATTAGGGTGTTACAATGGCCCAGTCAAAGTTCAGACCTCAACCCAATTGAAATGCTGTGGTGGGACCTTATGAGAGCTGTGCCTAAACAAATGCCCATAAACATCAGTGGGCTGAAGCAATGTTGTGGAAGAGTGGGCCAAAATTCCTCCACAACAATGTGAGAATGTTAAAAGTCATGCAGAAAACAATTACTTCAAGTTATTGGCGCTAAAGATGGTTGAACCACAAGATGTACCTATTTTTCATACATGGCTTCTCTATTTTGGCATTTTGTTAAATAAATCATGACATGGTGTAATATGTCATGTGTTGATGTTCACCTGATTTACCTAATTTACCTAATATATCTAATTTTCAGACCTGCTAAGGACCAGATGATTTTTATTGTGTTCTGATATGTAAAACTATAGCATTCAAAGAGGGTGTACTTTCTTTTTCATATGACTGTATATTTTGTTTTGTTTTATGTGTTCCCTGCAGTCTTCCCCTCAAGTGCTCCCCATAAGCCGTTATGATGAATTTAATATTATCTAGTTCAATAAACCCAGTAGATTTTGTTAGAATAAATTTTTTTTCAATGGGATACCTATAAAATCAATTTCTTCTTATGTACTAGCGTCATTGTGAAATCAATCATTAACTTTATTTTCTCTAGGTCTTTTTACAGGTACTATTTTGGTCATGTTAAAAAGTTGGTGCAAAGATTGTGTTAGAGCTGTTTGTTCCATGAGGAATTGATGGTGATATGTTTTGTTCCAAAGTGTTTGCTTGGATTTAACATATATAACTTCTTTACTTTTTCTTTGGAGATTACTGAAGAACTGGAGAAAGTGAAACAGGAGATGGAGGAAAAAGGAAACAGTATGACTGATGGAGGTAAGTTCATCCTTGTGGTCCTTCCTGGGGCAGACTTCACATCTTCTAAGCTAGTTAGTAATTCTCTAGCCTTAGGTCAAAGGCAAGACTCCAGTGCAGAAGAATAAAACAAATATATATCTCTGAGACACAGTGGGGTTCAGTACTCTGTTAGTGTATAGAACCTTTTGCCATATCCCAGATTTTAGCAGCGGCCTTTGTAGAAACAGGGAGCAATTGGGTATCTTCTATAGCTGATGCAAGAAGATCATTTGGCTGATAAAAAGATGTGTGTGTAGAAAATATCTATTGTGGCTTAATTCCATTTTAAAATTCTTACAACTCGAAACCTTAACTGGCCTTATGATGCATTATCGTTTTTTAAAAAAACCTTTTATGTGGCTGTATTCTGTCTTTAATCCTTTGAGATTTGTGAGGCTGTTGAAATAATGGGTATTTGGAAAAATTAATGGAATTTGTACCAGCATTTACTGAGAATGCTGCACTTTTTTTTTGCAATAGCCTTTTTCCCAAATGTACACTTAATATTATCACCATGAGTACTGAAAATGTATGTACATTTTTAATGCACATCTTCAGATCCAGAATGCCATGAAGATGGTAGTGTCTTCTAATTTTAAAATAGCTCCATGTGAAATGATGAATCTATAAAGTCGTGTCTCCAGAGTATTATCATTCTTTTGTTCATTTAGCTCACCGATTAGCAGAGGGAGTGAATTATGAGGGAAAAATAATACCTTTCTTTGTGTGGCAGAGTGACAGAAAAATGTACTGTTTTGCATTTTCCTTTTTAACAGCTCCTTTAGTAAAGATTAAACAAGCTTTAACCAGACTGAAGCAAGAAACCATTCAGATGGACATACGGATTGGTGTAGTGGAACATACATTACTTCAATCAAAACTGAAAGAAAAATCAAATATGACTAGAGATATGCATGCTACTATAATTCCAGATTCCTCCATTGTTGGTACCTATTAAATTTGCTTGGTGCTCTACATTTTAATGCTATGTAAATTAAATTTTGTAAAATAATATATATACTATGTACATTATGTATGTCACACAAACATTGTTAGAGAGCCATTATTTCTGCTTACATACATGACATAATGGTACATTTATGTCCAATATGATTTATTACACACTTTTTTGTAAAAAAATTTCATTATTAAAATATTAATAAGCCTTTTATATGTTAAAGAGTCTAAATGGAATGCAGAATTAATATTGAAAAGTAAATGACTGGTATTAAATTTACTGTTGCAAAATATATCACAATGTGAACTGAAAGAGGACAGATGACCCTTCTTGTTGACAGGATTTAGATTTAGACAGGAGTGTCTGAGACCATAAGATTTGGGAACTGAACCAGGCCCTGCACCTACTGCGACCGTCTCCACCACTGCTGCCTGCTGTACACAGAGATCTGAATCATCTTTGGGACCAAAAGAGCAGCAGCTGTCAGGACATGCCTCAGCATTATCCACTTCTCTATAATAGAAGCTGAGCTGAAAATGAGCATGGAGAGTATAGTGCAGTATGCTATATTAGCATAAACTAGAGTGGAACATGAAATCAGCAGCCTTCTTGAGTTTTTGCAGCCAAATAGATGTAGTGGCCTCTGAAATGGGAAGGAGAGGATGAAATTGTAAGCCGGCTGGACCAGATGTGGAAGTTGTTTAGGTACACTGGAGTAATTTGGAGGACAAATAGTAACAAGCTGGAAAATAACTTTCAGAACAGAGGAATATGCTCACTTCTGCTTCTGTTTTTCTTTATTGGCTTTTTAAAAATGGAAAGCTGCATTGTTCACAACCTAATTTTTATTAGAAGGTCATGGGGCAAGGCGAATGACTGGCAATTCTTTGTCTAACAGGATTGGAAGAGGGATTCCATTCCTCACCATTGAACAGAATCTGAAATTTACACCTCTGACCTGATTCTGCAGCTCCCATTTTGAAACTTTTATCAATGGAGCCTGGCATGTATGCCGGGTAGTGATTTTTGGAAACTTTGTTCCTTCTGCAGCATCCATAGCTCTGTGGTGCCCAGCTTGATGAAGACCTGTATAAGACTGAAAGCTAGCTTATGTCTGATATTTTAATGGCTGAATAAAAGCATCACCCACTTTTACTTTCAGATAGTTTACAATAGTTGGGGGTGGGGGAAACTGTTTGACAGTTCTGGTTTACTTAATTTATTCCTTGAATGACACCATTGCTTAATTTGATGGACTTCCTAACTTTGTTGCCCCGGTGATTCATCAATAAGGCTCTCCCTTGCGTTCATAGGTTTTCCTTTCCGAACCATTCCCCACCATCTAACATTGGTTGCCCTGTGGAAAAATTTCAGAAGGGGAGGGAACAGACAGACAAGGTAGATGCTCCCCTCTTCTCTCCTCAACACTAGATCTTTACTAGATCTGGCTTGTGGGAAGAATTCTCATGATGTCTTATCTATTAATATTTAACACTGTGAGTTTATTAATAAATTCTGGTTTGACAAGTATGCTGCCTTGGAAGAATCTGTATCCTGTGAAATGAAGGATACAAATTATTATCATTAAATATATAATACCTTTCTTAACCTCACTGGGAAAGAACTGCTTCTCTGTTCTAGTACAATGGAGAAACCCTTCTTAAGATTTTCACTAATAATTCTTTAAGGAGCGTCTTTGTAATAGGTAAGTTTCAGTATCAGTGAAAAAGGCTGTGACTAGGTATTGAAAACATAAATAATTGACTTCCTTCTCTTGAAATTGTCTTTTAGGTCTATTGTGTAATAGTGAGGTGTGTCCAAAGTTGTAAGAGGTGTATGGCAAATGGAGTAGTTAGCTTTTTTAAAATATTACTTCCTGGAACAGTACCTGTGGTGCTTTCCCCTGATTTACCTGTACTGTATATCATGTGGTTTCTGGGAAAGCTGCATCATCCAACTACTATTGGTTCTCTTAGATCTTAGGTGCTTTCACATCCTGCTCCATGAAGCAATTACTAGATGACATTTGTAGATACAGTTTCCAGTGCATCTGATATGCTGCTTCAGTGGTTGGGTCAGACCTCTTGCTAGGATTAGATTAGCTGACTACAGTGTATTTAAATACTGTAGTGTGTTGTATCAGTTGGTAGTGGATTGAGAACTAATTTGAGTTTATAATCAGGCGGTTTATTGCAAAACAAGATTTTTCACTTGTTGGCAAATATGTTTTGAAAGATGAAAGAAACTGCCTGTGATCTTGTGCTGTTTCTCACAATAAAACCACAGTGTATGGAGGTGCTAGGTGTGCCCTTCCTTTTGTTTTCAGTACACACTAGATCACAATGGGTTTAAGGTTTGATATAGAGGTAGCAATGCTGACATCCGTTGTTCTCAACAGGGCCAAGCAGTTTATCCGATCAAACACAGTTAGTGCTTTAGGTTTAAGGATTATATGGGGACATGAGGCAGCCTGCTTGAAGACATAAATTTGGCAACCAAAAAAGGGCAGCAAATTGTCATTTGCTTATTTTACATTTTATCCATATGGAAGCTACAATTGTGATCTTCCACCCCCATTCAACATGCAAATGACTTGAGCTTTCTCAAGTTGTGGTACGAAAAGGCTGCAGTGTTGCATGTGAAAACCAGGTAACCTTTGTGCTTCACTTTTCCCATTGCTTGCATTAAAAGGACTGTGAATAAAACCAAAATACCTTCTAAGTAATTGAATTAATGTCAGGAATTAATTTTCAACCCTTCTTTTTTGGTTGCCTACTTAAATCCTCCCACTTTCATTACACAAACTTGTTCATTGTGTTCACTCATGAGCTCTGTTGTATTAGCATAATATTGTTGCGGCACATCTGCATTGAACATGGTTGTATTTCACTGCCAGAGACAGAATTATTAATGAAGACATTAGGGAATCTCTTGATGATAAAGAGTTCCTTGTAAGGCAGCAGGCCTCTCTCAGTCTTCTTCTGCCTCAGTTGATGGACAAAGCTACAGTACTATACTCCAAACAGTGTCAGAACCATTGAACATTTTTCTTTAGGAAAAAAATGAGAATTTTTCAAAGAGAAAAGACATTCTGCTGTGGTTTTGAATGCAAGAACACGGGGTAGGGCAGGAATCTAAATCTATTAATACAAGTTTGGGGAGCCTTTTGTCCTCCAGATGTTTCAGTCTTCAATTCTTTCTATAGGCTGTACTTAGAGAAGGAGAAGAATTGCAGTTGTACAAAATATCTGGAAGGCAAAAAATCGCCCACCTCACACTAACAGTTTCCAGCATGCCTCCAGGCAGAAGTGTGAGCTTCTGGCATGGAGGGGGCGGAGTGGGTTTGAAAATGATTAACAGTACAATCTTTGGCGTGTCTAAAATTGATTCATTGCGTCCAATGGAACTTAACACTCAAATAAGGCTATTGCAGTCTCAATGAAATATTTGTGGACAGTGCTTGTTTTCAGTGTGGGGTTAATTCCAGGGTAACAGAGGCATACCCAAGTGCAAGATAAACTAGTGCAGGAGTTCTGGGGCCAGAGTCCAGATCACCAGTCATGCAAAAAAAAAAACATAGTCAAGCATTCTGAAAGACACAGTAAGTTACTGGCAAGCAGGATGAAGAGCCAGAAATAATGTCTCCCATGTAGACACACTCCTAAGCTGAATATATAGCTGGGCCACCTGAATGCCTTTTGTTTCTGATCATGGGGCATTCTTGGCAAAGATACTGGAGTGGAATTGCCGGTTCCTACCCCAGGTGGATTGCGTTTAGTCGGAACTCTCCACTATGACCTGTCCGTCTTGGGTGGCCCTGCACGGCATAGCCCATAGCTTCTCTTAAGTTACTCAAGCCCCCTCACCACGACAAGGCAGCAATCCATGAAGGGGATTGCAAAAAACGGTCTGAAACTCAACATCAAAAAAACTAAGATCATGGCCACTGGTCCCATCACCTCTTGGGAAATAGAAGGGGAAGATATGGAGGCAGTGACAGATTTTACTTTCTTGGGCTCCATGATCACTGCAGATGGAGACAGCAGCCCCGAAATTAAAAGATGCCTGCTTCTTGGGAGCAAAGCAATGACAAACCTTGACAGCATCGTAAAAAG